CATCCACCCACTGCACCTTCCCTCTGAGATTCCACAATCTGTTCCATGCTTCTATGTCTCTAGATATATTTTGTTCATTAGATTCCACATATGAGTGAGATCATGTGACACTTGTCTATCTCTGACTGGCTTATTTTGCTCAGCATAATACTCTCCAGGTCCCTCCAAGCTGTTGCAAATGGTTAGAGTTCCTTCTTTTTTACTGCTGCATAGTGTCCCATGGTATAAATATACCATAGCTTTTTTATCCACTCATCTGCTGATGGGCACTTGCACTGTTTAAAGATTTAGCTATTGTAAAATGTGCTGCTGTGAACATAGGGGTACATACATTCTTTCTGATTGATGTTTCTGGTCTCTTAGGTTATATTCCAAGAAGTGAGATCACTGGGTCAAATGGCAGTTCCATATTTAATTTTTGAGGAAACTCTATACTGTTTTCCATAGTGTCTGCAGCTATCTGCATTCCCACCGGCAGTGCACTAGGGTTCCCTTTTCTCCACATCCTCACCAGCACTTATCATTTGTTGATTTGTTGATGACAGCCATTCTAACAGGTGTGAGGTGATACCTTAATGTCATTTTAATTTGCAACTCTCTGATGATCAGTGACTGAACATTTTCATATGTCTCTTGGCCATCTGAATATCCACTTTGGAAACTATTTAGGTCCTTGGCCCATTTTGAAATTGGATTGTTTGTCTTTGTTTTGTTAAGTTGTATGAGTTTTTGTATATTTTGGATATTAAATTTTATCAAATGCATCATTGCCAAATGATGGTATTTTGGTGTAGTCTTTAGGGTTTTCTATGTACAATATCATGTCATCTGTAAGTAATGAGAGTTTTACTTCCTTCTTTCCAATTTGGATGCCTTTTATTTCTTCTTCCTATCTGACCACTGTGGCTAGATTTCCAGTACTATGTTGAATAAAAGTGGTTAAAGAGGACATCCCTGTCTTGTTCCTGTTCTTAAGGGCAACACCTTTAGTTTTTGCCCATTGAATATGATGTTCAGTGTAGGAATGTCATATCTGGCCTTTATCAGGTTGAGATATGCTCCCTCTATTCTCAGTTTGCTGAGGGTTTTTATCAAAAAGGGTGTTGGATTTTGTCAAATGCTGTTTTTGCATCTATGGAAATGATCATGTGATTTTCGTCTTTCAATTTGTTTATTTGATGTATCACATTTATTGATTTATGACTATTGTACCACCCTTGCATCCTTGGAATAAATTCTACTTGGTCATGGTGTATTATCTTGTTAATATATTGCTGGATCTGATTTGCTAGAATTTTGTTGAGGACTTTTAGCATCTATGTTTATCATGGATATTGGCCTATAGTTCTCTTTCTTTGTAGTGTCTTTATCTGGTTTTGGAATTAGGACAATGCTGGCTTCATAGAAAGAACTTGGAAGTGTTCCTTACTCTTGGATTTTTGGAACACTTTGAGGAAGATAGGTGTTAGTTCTTCTTTGAATGTTTGGTAAAACTCCCCTGTGAAGCCATCCGGACCAGAGCTTTTGTTTGCTGGGAGTTCTTTATTATTATTATTATTATTATTATTATTATTATTACTGTTTCTATTTCATCAGTTGTTATTGGCCTATTCAGGTTTTCTGATTCTTCCTGATTCAGTTTTGGAAGATTGTATTTTTTTAGGAATTTACCTATTTCATCCACATTGTCCAGCTTATTGTTCATAGCATTTTCTTACAATCCTTTGTATTCTCTGGTGTCAGTTGTTACTTCACTGCTTTCATTTCTGATATTATTTGGGTTCTCTCTCTTTGTTTCTTGATGAGTAAGGCTAATAGTTCATCAATCTTATTTATCTTTTCAAAGAACCATTCTTGGTTTCATTTATTTTATTTTTTATATATATTTTATTGATTTTTTACAGAGAGGAAGGGAGAGGGATAGTTAGAAACATCGATGAGAGAGAAACATCGATCAGCTGCCTCCTGCACACACCCCACTGGGGATGTGCCCGCAACCAAGGTACATGCCCCTGACCAGAATTGAACCTGGGACCCTTGAGTCTGCAGGCTGATGCTCTATCCACTGAGCAAAACCAGCCAGGGCTATTTTATTTTATTTTTTTAGTCTCTATGTCATTTATTTCTGCTCTAAACTTTACTTCTTTCCCTCTACTTAATCTGTTTTTTTCATTGTTATTCTCTAATTCTTTAAGTTGTAGGGTTAGTTTATTAATAATTTTTCTTGTTTTTTGAAGTAGGCTGGTAGTGCTATGAACTTCCCTCTCAGGAGACTGCTTTTGCTGTGTCCCAGAAATTTGGGGTTGTTGTGTGTTCATCTTCATTTATTTCCAGGAACTTTTTTATTTCTTTCTTGATCTCATTGGTAACCCATTCATTGTTTAATAACATGCTATTTAGCTTCCCTGTGTTTGAATGTTATTGGGTGTTTTTACTGTAGTTGATTTCTAATTTCATTCCACTGTGATCTGAGAAGATGCTTTATATGATTCAATCTTCTTGAACATGTAGAGACTTGTTTTGTTTCTAATATGTGGCCTATCTTTGAAATGACACATGTGCACTTGAGAAGAATGTATATTCTGCAGCTTTGGTATGAAATGTTCTATAAATGTCAATCAAATCATTGTGATCCAGTGTGTCATTTAAAGTCAGTTTCCTTGTTAATTTTTTGTCTGGAATATCTATCCAGTAGAGTCAGCAGTTGTTACAGTCCCCTACTATGACTGTATTGCTGTCCATCTCTCCCTTACAGTCCTCTAGAAGTTTTTTTTAATATATCTAGGTGCCCCTATATTGAGTGTACACATGTTTACCATGGTTATATCTTCTTGTTGGATCAATATATTTAGTATTATGTAGTGACCTTTATTTTCTCTTATGCTGTAGGCCTGTTTATTCGAGGAACTTTAGAATTACACTATAAATTGCATCCCCCCAACACACATATATAAATGCTCATGTATATACAAAAGGAGAATTCTTAGCATTCTAACTGGAATTATTTTCTACCTAAAAGTTAAATTGAAAAAATTTAATATCTTTATAATATTTGTTCTTTTCAGCCACGAATATGGTAATATTTCCATTTAGTCAACTAGAGATAGTTTTTAAACCATGAGAATGAAGATAAGTTTCATAACAACCATGTTGATAAGTTATAGCAATTTGAGTCCATTTATTATTTTTAGATATTTATAGTGTTCACACCATTTTAAATGAAAGGATAAAGTGAAATGAAGTTACAAACATTTAAAAGTCTTAAAAGCAAATCAACCAACAATAAGTACTGGCGAGGATGTGAAGAAAAGTGTACTGCTTGCTAGTGGGAATGCAGAGTGGTGCAGTCACTGTGGAAAACAGTATGTAGTTACCTCAAAAAAGTAAAAATGGAACTGCCATTTGACCCAGTGATCCCACTTCTGGGTATTTACCCAAAGAAACCCAAAACACTAATTCAAAGGAATATATACACCCTTATGGTCTTTGCAGTGTTATTTACAATATCCAAGATTTGGAAGCTGCCCAGGTGCCCATCAGTAGGTGATTGGATAAAAAAGCTATGATACATTTACAGAATGGAGTACTAATTGGCTGCAAAAGAAAGAAGGCAATCTTACCCTTTGTGACAGCATGGATGGATATGGAAAGTATTATGCAAAGTGAAATAAGCCAATCAGAGAAAGACAGGTACCATATGATTTCACTCTTATGTGGAATCTAATGAATAAAATAAACTAACAAACAAAAATTTTTAGAAGTCTTAAAAGCAAATGAGCCTGATACAGAAGATAGAAAGGAAAAGCAAAACACAAAACCAAAGCTGAATATTAAAGTAGCAATTCAACAGAACAAACAAGAACTTCAATCAAGGACCCCCACATATCCCACATTTGCAGAAGGAGAATAGTGGAGCTGAGCACTTCTCTTTATTATTCATCTGCCAGATATTCTCCCACCAACTATAATCAAGTTACTGCTCTGCTCAAAAATATTCAATGGTTTCCCACTGCTTACAATTTAAAATCCAAATTCTTTAATCTGACATTCAAGGCTCTGGCTGCAATCCAAACTTTTAGTGTTCACATCCACTTCTCACCTATCAGAAAATGCCCAGAAATACTTTATACTTTCCCATCTCTATCCCTCTTCCTAATACTCAGCCCCCGCTCCAGTCTCCTGACAAAATTCTATCCTTTCTTCAAAGACTAACTCAAAAACCACCTTCTGTGTGAACCCTCACATGACATGTGCAGCGTGTAGTCTTTTCTCCCTTAGAAATCTTAACACTCACTACTGTGTACACTGTGCCATATCGTGGTTATTTGTGCACATATCTCCCTAACTTCCTTAAGGCTTCCTGAGGGTCTACTCCATGCCTTGTACTATTTTATATCTTGCATTGCCCGGTACAAGTAATCAATAAATATGTTGAAAAATGTTACTGAAAAGCAGTAAAGATTAGACAAGTACCCCTAACCGGTTTGGCTCAGCGGATAGAGCGTCGGCCTGTGGACTGAAGGGTCCCAGGTTCGATTCCCGTCAAGGGCATATACCTTGGTTGCGGGCACATCCCCGGTGGGGAGTGTGCAGGAGGCAGCTGATCGATGTTTCTCTCTCATCGATGTTTCTGACTCTCTATCCCTCTCCCTTCCTCTCTGTAAAAAATCAATAAAATATGTTTAAAAAAAAAAAGATTTGACAAGTAATGGCAATTATAAAATAGAAATGCATTTATGATGCATTTCAAAGAACATTAAACACTATGACTTGCTGAAGACAAATGATCTATATATAAGGTGTCTCTGCATGGGAAAACTGCCTTCATCTTTCCAAACACTTATTAAAGCACCCTTGTGAAAAGGCTATTCAGCTTCACACATTTGGTTTGAATCAGAACTGTGGGAACAGATCATACTTTACTAAGTTTTGAAAAAGTTGAAATCCTCTGTTTTATATCAGGACAATAAAAACATAGCCATGGTCATTATTTCATTCACCTTCTTCATGTTCCCTCCAAGGGCAGGGTACGGAGGCTTGTTGACACGGCTCCAGTTGACTGGCACACGGATCATTTCATAGAGCTGGAAGATCACTAGAGCATCTGCAAGATCACTAAAGTAGGAGGAAAAGAAGATGAATGAGGAGGAAATGCTGGTACTACATAGTTTTATTAAGCACACTGGAGATGGGCTTATGTCTTTAAAAATACAACAGGCTCAATTAACACTTAAAGAACAACAGGTTACATCATTTGACCCAGAACTTTTAATCTAGATATCTGTCCAAAATTTCTTCATGAATGTTTACAAATATAATGTGTACAAGGACATTTATTGCCATAGCATTTATACATTTGGAAACAACTTAAATACCAGCTAGTAGAGGGCTGCTAAATAAACTATTCATACCATGGACTCCTGGGCTACCATAAAACATAATAAGGTAGATTTCTATGTACTCACTTTACAAGACATATTACACTAAAAAAGGAAGTGGCAGAACACTGCATATTTTATTAGTTATTAAATTCATTTTAAAAAGTAAGAGTATTTAAATACCTATATGTGCTTTTGGCTGTTAAAAGTTATTATCTCTGGGCAGGAAAGAAAGAATATGGAAAGAATAAGGGACAGATTGTCATGTTTTGTTTTATTCTATATATTTCTTGAAACTTGTACAATGGGAATGGAGTCCATATATTGCTTATGTATTATGATTTTTAAAACTTTTAAAAATAATTAGAGAAAAATCACAATAGCTACTTGGTAGGAAGTTGTTCATCCTATCTAATAAAAGAGAAACATGGTAATTAGCGTACATCCGCTACCCTTTCCATTGGCTAATCAGGGTGATATGCAAATTAACTGCCAGCCAAGATGGCGGCCGGCAGCCAGGCAGCTTGAAACTAACATGAGGCTTGCTTGCTTCAGTGATGGAGGAAACCAGCGTTCCCCGCCTGCCTTGCCGGCCTCTGAGACTGCAGTTTGAAACATTGTAACAAATATAGAAGCTAAACAAAACCCCAGAAACCTGCTTTCAGCGAGCCAGGATCTCAGAGCTAGAGTTACACATTGTTTCGATTATAGAACCCAAACAAACCAGATACCTGCTTTCAGCAGCAGAGGCCTCAGAGCTGGAGCCAGAGCTAAAGCTGGCCCAGAATAAAAAAAAGAAAAAAAAGAAAAAAAGGAGCGGTTGGGAGCTTCAGTCACCCGCCAGCCTGAAAACAGCCCTCAGCCCCTCACCCAGACTGGCCAGGCACCCCAGTGGGCACCCCCACCCTGAAGGGTGTGTGACCAGCTGCAAACAGCCATCATCCCCTCATCCAGGCTGGCCAGGCACCCCAGTGGGGACCCCCATCCTGAAGGGTGTGTGACCAGCTGCAAACAGCCATCATCCCCTCACCCAGGCTGGCCAGGCACCCCAGTGGGGACCCACACCCTGATCCAGGACACCCTTCAGGGCAAACCAGCCAGCCCCACCCATGCACCAGGCCTCTATCCTATATAGTAAAAGGGTAATATGCCTCCCATCACCGGGATCAGCGGAGCCGAGAGGCCTCCCAGCACCGGGATCAGCGTGACAGGGGGCAGCGCCCAAACCCCCTGATCGCCCTGCGGCTCTGTGTGTGACAAGGGGTGGGGCCACAACCTCCCTATCCACCCTGCTCTGTTCATGATAGAGGAAGGCACCCCAACCTCCTGATCAGCCCTGCTCTGTGCCTGATACTGGGGAGGTCCCCAACCCCCTGATCGCCCTGCGGCTCTGTGTGTGACAGGATGCGGCGCCCCAACCCTCTGATCAGCCCTGCCCTGTGTGTGACAGGGTGCAGCGCCCCAACTCCCCCTCCCCCCACGGGCCCTGCTCTGTGTGTGACTGGGTAGAGCCATAACCTCCCCATCGGCCCTGCCCTGAGTGTGAGAGTGGCGGCGCCCCAACCCCCTGATTGGCCCTGCTCTGTGGGTGATAGAGAGCGGCGCCCCAACCCCCTGATCCGCCCTGCTGTGTGTGACAGGGGGCGGTGCCCCAACTCCTCTATCGGCCCTACTCTGTGAGTGACAGGGGGGAGCTCCTCAACCCCCTGATGGGCCCTGCTCTGTGCGTGACAGGGGGGAGCTCCCCAACCCCCTGATCGACCCTGCTCTGTGCGTGACAGGGTAAGGAGCCCCAACCCCCCTGATGGGCCCTGCTCTGTGCGTGACAGGGGGCAGCGCCCCAACCCCGATTGGCCCTGCTCTGTGCATGACAGGGGGTGGCGCCACAACCTCCCCATCAACCCTGCCTTGAGTGTGACAGGGGGCGGTGCCCCAACCCCCCAATCGGCTCTACCCTGAGCGTGACTGAGGGTGGCATCGCAACCTCCCAATCGGCCCTGCTCTGAGCCCGACCAGGGCCTGTACCTAGGGATTGGGCCTGCCCTCTGCCACCCAGGAGCAGGCCTAAGCCAGCAGGTCATTATCTCCCAAGGGGTCTCAGACTGCGAGAGGGCACAGGCCAGGCTGAGGGAACCCCAACCTTCCCCCCCGAGTGCACAAATTTTTGTGCACCGGGCCTCTAGTCTCTATATATAAAAGTCTAAGTGACTGGACTCGCTGACCGGCCAGTAGCTATGACACACACTGACCACCAGGGGGCAGATGCTCAACACAGGAGCAGAAACCACAGGTGTGGAAATATGGAACAGACTGAAGAATCTCAACGGGAAGGTGGGAGAAGGGAGGGTGGGAAGAGATTAACCAAAGATCTTATATGCATACTAGAGGCCCGATGCACACATTCATGCACTGGTGGGTTCCCTTGGCCTGGCCTGAGCCCTCTCACAATCCAGGACCCCTTGGGGGATGTCAGACTGCCAGTTTCAGGGTCGTATCCTGATCGCCACAGGCCAGTCCGAGGGACCCCACCAGTGCACGAATCCGTGCACTGGGCCTCTAGTGTTAAATAATAAGGGTTAAGAGGAAGGAATTTGCCCTAGGCAGTGTTACTCAGTTGGCTGGAACATTGTCCCATACACCAAAAGGTGGCAAATTCAATTCTTAGTCAGGGCACATGCAGGAGGCAGCTGATTGATGTTTCTCTCTCACATCTATATTTCTCTCTCCTTCCCTCCCTCAAAAATAAATGAAAAAGCAAGTCCTCAGGTGAGGATTTAAATTAAAAAAAAGAGGAAGAAATTTATGAGCAAGTAGGAGTTACTGAAGAATAGTACTACTTTGGATTCAGAAAAAATTATTCTCCTGAGATGCTCAAAGTATGTCCATCAACTCTGTTTTCTTTTTCTTTTTTTAATATACTTTATTGATTTTCTACAGAGAGGAAGGTAGAAAATAGAGAGTTAGAAACATCGATGAGAGAGAAACATCGATCAGCTGCCTCCTGCACACCCCCTACTGGGAATGTGCCCGCAACCAAGGTACATGCCCTTGACCGGAATCGAACCTGGGACCCTTCAGCCTGCAGGCTGATGCTCTATCCACTGAGCCAAACCGGTTAGGGCCATCAAGTCTGTATGCTAAGGACACAAAGAAACAGCAGTTGATGTTAAACTTGCTAGGTCTGTGATGTGTAATGTGGCTTTTCTCTCTCAATAGCTGTTCACTGAGCTATGGAAAGGATAAGGGACAGATTGTCATGTTTTGTTTTAGTCTACATATTTCTTGAAACTTGTGCAATGGGAGGGGTGTCCATATATTGCTTATGTATTAATGATTTTTAAAACTTTTAAAAATAATTACAGAAAATCACAATAGCTACTCAGTAGGCAGTTGTTCTTTAGCTAAGATTCATATTAAAGTTACTTTGCATCTGTGAGCACACATGCGATACCAGTAAAGGGGGCTTGCCCCTGTATTGAGCAATGGAAGGAGTCTATTATGAAGGTAATTAAGCACTGACGAGGACATCTATAAGCACATGGAGATTTTTGTAATTAAAAAATCATTAAAGTTATTTGTATAACTTCTGGAATCTCATTTATTTCATGACTTTTTCCTTTTAACTTCAAATGAAGTCATTCTTATTTCTATGTAGTATGGTATTATTATTATTATTATTATTATTATTATTATTATTATTATTATTAATGTTTTGCAAATAGAGAAACTGAAACCTGAGGCATGTGGCCCACCGGCCACAAGTTTGACATGCTTGGTGTACACCCTTGGTCTCTCTCCAATAACTCACTTTAAAAATTTTGCACTGTCTGGGAAAAATTATTTGGTTTGGTAAATAATTTTAAGTGCTGTTTTATTACCATTGCTGTCAACTAGTTGATCAGCCTTTATATATATGAAAAATCTGTTGCACAAACACACACAGCTCTCCTTTATAGCAGGAAGCAGTCTTTATCTTCAAGGGAGGTGATGCATGCATTCTGGGAACAAAGTGGCATGGATGGTGTGGCTTACTGGGATAGCTGCTTGTCAGCAGAGTGTTTGTGTGTGTATCTGTGTGTATATGTATGTGAATGTGTGCGTGTATGTGTGTATATGGGTGTACACTGTGCCCATGATGGTGTGGGTTTTTCCCACTTTAAAGTCACTGCTGAGAACACATCTGTATGGGTAGTTGCTACTACCCGCTGTCAAGCTAGAATTTTAGTGGTGTTTGGTATAATTTCTGGGCACAAATTTATCAGCACAGTGGATATTGGGGTTAGCTTTTCAGCAGGTGCCCCATTAAACAGAAGGTGCTCCACTGCACTAAGGAAAGATGTAGTTTTGTCCAAGAAGAACTACTGCACTGTCAGCAGCAGATCAAAGGGATGTTCATTCCAAGCCACTCCAGACCAGAAATTATAGTGGGGACAGTCTATAGGAGACCAGAGGGAGAGAGACCATAGAGCAGTGATGGCGAACCTATGACACGCGTGTCAGAGGTGACACGCGAACTCATTTTTTTGGTTGATTTTTCTTTGTTAAATGGCATTTAAATATATAAAATAAATATAAAACATATACATCTTTGTTTTACTATGGTTGCAAATAGCAAAAAATTTCTATATGCGACACGGCACCAGAGTTAAGTTAGGTTTTTTCAAAATGCTGACACGCCGAGCTCAAAAGGTTCGCCATCACTGCCATAGAGAATCACCTTGTCACACTTGAGTCATTGGCTAGGTGCAGCCACTTGTCATGCCGGTGTTCATCCAAGTTGGGTACCTTCTGTGTGTTGTCACCATAAATGGTAGAGCATGTTACATGAATGCATTGTGGGTGGGAAGCTTGTTGTTACTGATCATCCCCCTGGCAGAGGAGTGAATAGACCTCACAGGTTGGCATAAAGACAAACCCCAGGGAGGGTCTTGAAAGGAAAGTAACTGTTTACTTCTCCTATCTTTTCTCCCTGTTACCTCCAGCTTCTGGCTGTGTGGCACTCCCACTGTGGGAGCACACTGACTGCCAGGAGGCAGCTCCTGCATTGAGTGTCTGCCCCCTGGTGGTCAGTGCATGTCATAGTGACCAGACGTTTTGCAGTTTGGTCAATTTGCATATTAGGGTTTTATTATATAGGATTCTAAACTGGAGATTAATGCCAAAAAGACCAAGATCACTGGCTGAGGATTTATGATGGAGTTATTTCTGCTTCTTGGTATTTATTCAAAATATTATTTAAAATCTAAAACCAGTAGTGCCTTATTATGGCAATGACTTTGATGTGATAGACTCACATTTGATAAACTCTTTTTTTTAAATTTTGTTTTATTGCTTAAAGAATTACAAAGAGTATTACATATGTCTCCCCTTTTTTCCCCTTGACCTTCCCCCTGCCTCCCCTACCCCCCAGTGTCTTGTGTTTATGTAAATTCAGCTAAATGATAAGAGATATGCCATTTAGACCAGAACTCTTATATAGTAGCAGGGCAGTGAAGGTCTCAAATACTGGAAGGGAGGAGCAGCTAGATCTTTATGGACATTGGAAGGAATGTCTATAATATATAATTAAGAGAAAGAATAATAGGTCTAGCCATGGACAGTGAGGTCAACGGTTAGAGCACTGGCCCACTGAAGATCTCTGGTTCAATTCCCAGTCAAGGGCACGAATCTGGGTTGCAGGTTTGATTCCCAGCCCCAGTCAGGGTGTGTGTTCTCTCATATCGATGTTTCTCCCACATCGATGTTTCTCCCCCCTCTTTTTTCCTTCCCCCTCCCTCTCTTCCACTCTTCCTTCCACTCTCTCTAAAAATCAATGGGAAAAATATCCTGTGATGATCCTAATTTTTTTTTAATTGAGCATATACATATTTGTATATGAATTTTTTTTTAAAGTTTGGAGGGATGAATACCAAACTCTATGCAACCTTGGTAGGTAAGACAAGACTTTTATTTTTAATTTTAGTAACTTAAGGTATGATATTTTATTTGTTTTTACAATGAGCATGTATTTCTATTTTAATTAAAAAGTAAATATAAAACCCTAGCTGGTTTGGCTCAGTGTATAGAGCATCGGCCTACAGACCAAAGGGTCTTGGGTTCAATTCCCATCAAGGGCACATACATTGGTTGCAGGCTTCTCCCCAGCCCAGGCCCTGGTCAGGGCATGCACAGGAGGCAACTAATCAATGTGTTTTTCTCATACCGATGTTTCTCTCTGTCTTTCCTTCTCTCTAAAAAATCAATGGAAAAATATCCTCAGGTGAGGATTAACAACTAATATTATATTATCTTTTAAAAAATACTATACTTTTCTTTTAAAATCCATTTCACTGCCAATTCCCAACATTCTGAAACTCTACATGTTGGCTAAAATTCTTGTGATTTTTATAAATGTTCTCATGTAAACATACCTAGAGCTTGAAACTAGAAAAGTTGGACCCTCGCCATAAAGCTGAAACACAGTAAAATGTTTACCTGTACAAATGATTAATGTAAGGGTTGACCCCCAGGGAATTCATCCAGTTTCGAAATGTCCTTTCTTCCTTGCTCTCTCCTAGAGTAGACACAAGTTCACACTGATGATTCAGGACAAAAGGAATCAAGAACCACATTTTAAACCCTTCAGGCAGATATAAACTGGCCATACATACTTTGCCATGGTTCCTATGACACTCAAAAATTTTAGGCAAAAAAATATCTTATTGCCAAAATCCCTCTTTTCCCTCTGTCTAGACAGCCTCTATTTGCTCTAAATTTTTCCATCTAGTATTTTTTATTGATGTCTGTGAACTACTGAGCCATGGGTTTCTCTGTCCAGAAAAGTAATAAATAAACTACAGATGTGTGGTGATATCCATAGTTAGAATTACATGCAACATGATTGGCTAAAATTAAGAAAAGAAAATCTTTTAGCAGCCAGGGTAATATCAGCACATTAAACAGAAACAAAAAGTTGTACTGTTTCCAAAGCTGTATTACTAAATTTGTACAAATAGGGTTTTACACAGAAAAGTTGCTGGGCACACAAACCTACATTGTAATTATACCAGATAGCAATGAAGGAGATGTGATTACAGGTCATAAAAACAAGCAATGAGGGGGATGTAACTGCTTTACAGGCTTCTTGAGTTTAGATTGTTCCTATTAAAAATACATAAGGGACACAGCCCCACACAGAGTGCTAAGAGAAAGACACATTTCATCATAGTAAGTCCCTAGACCTCAAAGATCACCTTGAGAAGAAACTCCTGCAGGCATTATTATTTAACCTGTGATTACCTAAATTACCTGAACATTCCCTTCACAGCAGTGTTTATATCATTTACTAGAGGCCAGATGCACGAAATTCATGCAAGAGTAGGCCTTCCTTCCCCTGGCTGCAGGCACTGGCTTCCCTCTGGCACCAGGGACCTGGGCTTCCCTCCCGCCACCAGCAGCCGGGACCCAGGCTTCCCTTGCAGAGGGAGGCCCCACCCACCTGCCACAGCCCACCTGTCGGTGGCCTGGGCCTCCCTCTTTGGGGCGATCGTGGAGCCCCCCAATCGATCACCCTGCCGGCTGGTAGCCTGGGCCTCCCTCTGCAAGGTGATCATGGGGCGATGGCCGGGCCTCTGACCAATCGCATTGCACCTGCCTTGGCTGGCCTGGCGCAAGTGGGTGTCATAGTGTCGTTGCTCAGTCTAATTAGCAAATTATGCTTTTATTATTATAGATAAGGAAAACGTGGGAAATCCTGTGACACAAAGGGAGCAGAGAGAGAAGTGTGCCCTCCTGGTCATTTTTGCCTTTTAGTCATCACCTTAATGACAATGGTCCTCAGTGACTAGAAAATTTTTGTTTGTCTTTCAGCAAAGTTAGGGAGACAATGGAATAGATAGCCCAGTGGTCGGCAAACTCATTAGTCAACAGAGCCAAATATCAACAGTACAACAACTGAAATTTCTTTTGAGAGCCCAATTTTTTAAACTTAAACTACATAGGTAGGTACATTGTTATTAACTTAATTAGGGTACTCTGAAGGCTTAGGAAGAGCCACACTCAAGGGGCCAAAGAGCCGCATGTGGCTCGCAAGCCGCAGTTTGCCGACCACGGGACTAGCCTATATCTCACTACCAGACTCCTGAAAAATGAAACATTTATAGTACGCCTTGCATCACTTCTATACCAGAGGCAAGTTCAAGCCACTCTCTAGACTTTGTCTCATGTGAGCTTCCCAGGACAATTTGGCCTATAAATCTACAACCATCTGAATGAGCTCCAGGAACCCATTTCTATAGAGCCAGCCCTGCAGTCATCTTCAGATTAAGTCACACAGACAATAAAAACCTGCATACCCAGAGGAGAAACCAAAACCTTGTAAAATCTAAAGCATTCTGTTTTTTGGGGCCAACTGTTCAGAAAATAATCTTCCCACCGTACTTTCATGTGGTTTTCAATGCCATTACCTAACAGCTTTCCCAGAGTCTGTTTGAATTCTTGTTCTGTTAAATTATATAACCATATTATTTGTTGTCTAAATTTTGCCCCCTCTTGCCCTAACTGGTTTGGCTCAGTGGATAGAGTGTCAGCCTGCGGACTCAAGGATCCTAGGTTCGATTCCAGTCAAGGGCATGTACCTTGGTTGCTGGCACATCCCCAGTAGGGAGTGTGCAGGAGGCAGCTGATCGATGGTTCTAACTCTCTATCCCTCTCCCTTCCTCTTTGTAAAAAATCAATAAAAAATATATATATTTTTAAAATTTTGCCCCCTCTTGTATGCATAAAAGGTGGCTGATTATTCTGTTGTATCTGCCACTACAACTTTATAATAACCTATATGAGAACCTTTTTAAAAAGAATCAAGTTAACCTAAAAATGTCTAGAAACTATGATTACCTTATTTTATAGGGGTTATTAAACAGGTGCAAATTAAATATCGGAATTTTTCCCAAAGTAACATAAATACAAACATATAATCAATAGCTTGATGCATGTGACTTGGGTTTACCTTTTAGTTTTTTCTCTATTACAATCTGTTTTTATCTACATATAAATATTTTTTTTAGTAATTAGAGAATTTTTACACTATTTCTACCTCTGAAAATCCAAGTTATGTTTTAAAATAACAAACATTAGTAGTGTAACAATTGTTTAATTTTTAATTAGAATAATATCTAAATTCTGCTGAACCTGATAATTTAGTGTATTCTATTTAAAAAGTCACTAAGCTTGTATCTTGACTGAAAGTGTAAGTTTCAGAGGTTCACATTTCTTCCTATTATTCTCAACTAATATTCTCTTATATCATTATTAATTTTTGATATCTGGAAAGTAAAATAGATTTTTAAGAGAGCACTTATTTATCTAATATCATTTCAAGTTGTCTTGGTAAATAAATGCTCAAAGCCAGCAGTACTATTCATTTGTGCAAGAGCCATAGTAAAGCATTACAAAAACATATGTATTCTAGATTGTAGATGACTAAAGCAATCTCAGAAGTAAAACCTTAATTGCTGATAGAAAGATAAAACATTCTTTTCATTTTCATAGTCAAACTAACACCTGCAATTGAAGTTTCACGAAAAATAACAAATATATTAAAAATAGGCTAGTAAGAGGAAATAAAAGGAATTGACATATTTAACACTCACAAATGTGGTAAGTGCTGTATAAGTGGTTTCTTCCTCTCTGTGCCTGACCATTATTGAGCACATACTGTTTGCTAAATTCTTTCATGAAAGGTAATTTTTAATTCACTCTGTGATTCTTCACAATAAGTATTACTGGTCTTGTTTTATATGTGAGAAAACTAAGGCTCACAGAGATCACTCAGATGTTTAATGGTGGAACCATGATTGAACAAAGTATAATTCCGTGGCCTAGGTATTTTCTATCACCACAAATGAGTTCTGACATGGTCTCTCTATACACAGCCTATGTATTTGGCTCAATTTAATATGAAGGTTTATTATTTAGTTGGCCTTTTAATTTTCTTTATTCTATATAGATAAAATTCTTTGCCAATGAGGACATGCTAATATATGAATATGGGATGTGATAAGGTCAAGCTTCAAACTTCATAAGGATCTATAAACACAAATTTACAGAGAAAAAATTCCAATGTCAGTAAAGTCAAATACATTTTGGCAGATGTACATACATATGCTCTAAATAAAGATGATTGATAAATATTTCCCATGGTATCTTCTTATATAGTAAACTAGAGGCCTGGTGCATGAGATTTGTGCGCTCGGGGGGGGGGGGGGGTCCCTCAGCCAGGCCTGCACCCTCTTGCAGTCCAGGAGCCCTTGATGGATGTCTGACTGATGGCTTAGGCCCACTCCCCAAAGGGCAGCTGTCAGTTGGACATCCTTAGCACTGCGACGGAGGCAGGAGAGACATGCAGCAGTGAGCCAGGCTTCTGGCTGAGTGGCACTCCCCCTGTGGGAGTGCACTGACCACCAGGGGGCAGCTCCTGCATTGAGCGTCTGCCCCCTGGTGGTCAGTGCGCATCATAGTGACCAGTCATTCTGCTGTTCGGTTGATTTGCATATTAGCCTTTTATTATATAGGATACTATGGAAATATTTAGCAATCTGATCCACACTGAAAAATTCCAAAAGCATGCTGAACACTAGCAAAAGAATTCAAACGTTACAAATAGGAGAAAAGCAAGTTGGACAAGATATCCAGCAAGAATTTGGTGACTATAAAAAGCAGATCATTTTTAATATGCCACTCTAAACAATGCCTTCTAATGTAAGACACAAAGGAATTTTGAAATTTTTCCAGACTCATAAAAACTTAGCAGTCTTCCTTTTTATTTAATTTTTTAAAATTCTAATTTCTGATTGTATATTTCTCTGTTGAAGTCTATATTTAATCTCTCTTCCCTCTTAGTGATGTAAGTGGAGGAGGCAGTCATTTTATCTCACTAGGCCTCAGGAAGAGTGAATTGAATTAATCATATTCTTCAAAGAACATACTTGTTAACTCTAAAACTTCTCCCACTAACTAAAACAACTATAATTATAAAGTGACAAAGACATCAGAACTCTGGCTGTGGCAGTCAGAGAAAAAGATCATGAAACTAATTTCTTATTCTGTCTCAGGAAGGGAGAAGGAAGTAACATGGGTGATGTGAGTGAATGAACACTGAATCGTCAAATTCTCTCCACCAAGAATCCCTACTTGAGCACTACCTTCTCCAAAACAGGGCAACTAGTGAGAATATTTTAGGATTGGCCCTTACTTCAGACAACTGCCACCACTTTTTTACTTTTAGCTGGTACTAAAGTGGGTTTTGGTATGCATGAGTGAGAGGGTGAAAATGGGAGAAGAAAAGAAGAGAGGCTGGGAAACAGAAGAGGAGAAAGAACTAGATATTGAGAATGTATTTGTCATTATGACGATTCATATATTATAAGCTTCAATGACATTCAGTAAATGAAACACAGTTAAATAATACAAAATAATGTTACAGAACCTAAATAGATCCTTTCAAAAATTACTTGTGATAAAAGATGTTTGTTTATTTACAGGAGAGAGATAAAGGCTTTGCATCAAATCATGAAATCCAATTGTTAATACTGACTTCTAATGTGCTTACAACTACACTCCCATTATTACAGAGGGCAAATTAGGTGAAGAATTTACATAACCAACCCTTGCTCTGCTATTCAAATTAAGCTTCATTTGTGTTCCTTGCTTATTATCATTCATTCTTTAGGCATATTAAGACGGAAAAAAACACAGCATGAACAATGCAAAAAATAAATATCAACCCAGACAGAAAGAATAAATGGTATTAATAAAAAGAACATTCAGAATGAATATAGAGAATATAGGAAAGTACTAAATACAGTACCTACATTAGGAGGGGTCAAATCTGCATTTCATGAAGCAAAACAGGAAAGTAATATAAATTATGAGACAGATAACAATAGCCCACACACAAGACAAGTAATGAACATTGTAAATTTTTTCATGTGCAGTAAAAACATTAAAAAGAGAACAAAACTGGAATCAAACTGTAGCTTTCAAAGGAGAAAACAAGCTACAAATAATTATTTTTTCCAATAGATAATTCAATGTCCATATTCGCGGTGGAGTTATGTTATGTGGTCATTTAAGAAAATATTTTTAATATGTGATAGTTTTCACTAACATCTTATAGAGAAATGACAGACAAGTAAGATTTATCCCACACCTTTTAACCAAAACCCATAACCACTTTCTTTAATTTTAACTTTTTAATGGATACACATGCCTACATACAGTAAACTATGCCTCCCACCACCCTCTCCTACCTCTGAGAGTAAAGTAGGTCAATATCACAGGAAGATACATACTGTGAATCCATTAAAGGCAGAAAGAACATACCTTCCAATAAATTCATATCGATGTCATTATTATCAGGCTTGTGTAGGCATGGGTATGTGTTAAACAGATTAGCTACAAAAGCTAAATTAAGTTTAGGATTGCCTGAAACCACATCTGCAGGAGTAACAAACTGTCTGCAGCCCAGTTTATCTGCTTCTTGAAGCATGAATCCAGCACGCTTCAGGTCATTTTTCTCCTAAACAATAAAATAAAATAAAAATGGTCAAGATTAAACTTTTAATTGGCATAACCTTTTATTGTTATACATATTTATAAACAGTTACTTTTCTGGAAATCATATATATATATATATATATATATATATATATATATATATATATATGTAAAGCCTAAGCAACCATCCAACCATTTGACCGTCCGACTGGTAGCTATGACACGCAATGACCACCAGGGGACAGACGCTCAACGCAGGAGCTTCTGATCTTCGGTTACTTGGCAGCTGCGATTCTCGGGTGACGCACCTGGAACCAGAAAGGAGGGAGCCCGATTCCGGGGTGCATCACCTGAGAACCACCCTCTCGCAATCTGGGACCCCTCAGGGGATGTTGGAGAGCTGGTTTCAGCCCAATCCCCGCAGGCCAGGGTGAGGAACCCCACCAGTGTATGAATCCATGCACTGGGCCTCTAGTTGTAAATAAAGCTGCTACGAACATAGGGGTCATATAATCTTTTCAATTGGTGTTTTGAGATTCTTAGGATAAATACCCAGAAGTGGGACTGCTGGGTCAAAAGGCAGTTCCATTTTTAATTTTTTGAAGAAACTCTATACTGTTTTCCACAGTAGTTGTACTAGTCTGCTTTCCCAACAGCAGCGAAGTAGGGTTCCCTTTTCTCCACGTCCTCACCAGCACTTGCTGTTTGCTGTTTCTCTGATGATAATCAATCTGGCAGGTGTGAGGTGATACCTCGTTTTGGTGTTAATTTGAGTTTCTCTAATGGCCTTGAACATTTTTTCATGTCTATTGGCCATCTGTATGTCCACTCTAGGGAAGTGTCTATTCAGGTCCATTGCCCATTTTTAAAAATATATATTTTTATTGATTTCAGAGAGGAAGGAAGTGGGAGAGAGAGAGAGAGCAACATCAATGATGAGAGAAAATCATTGAATGTCTGCTTCCTGCACACCCCCTACTGGGGATAGAGCCTGCAACCCGGGTATGTGCCCTTAATCAGAATCGAACCCAGGATCCTTCAGTCTGCAAGTCGATGCTCTCTCCACTGAGCCAAACTGGCTAGGGCCCATTGCCCATTTTTTAATAGGATTGTATGTCTTCCTTGTGTTGAGTTGTATAGATTCGTTAGATATTTTGGAGATTAAACCCTTATCTAATGAATCATTGGTGAATATGTTCTCCCACACAGTGGCTCTCTTTTCATTTTGTTGATGGTTTCCTTTTTAGTGAAGAAAACTTTTAGTCTGATGCCAACCCATTTATTTTTTTTCCTTTGTTTCCCTTTCCCTTGGAGACATATCAAAGTGTCTTTATATTTTAGAAATACACATTGAAATATTTATCAATGAAAAGATATGACATCTACCCTTGCTGGTTTGCTCAGTGGTTAGAGTGTCAGCCCAAGGACCAAAGAGTCACAGGTTTGATTCCCAGTCAAGGGGACATACCTCAATTGCAGGTTCAATACCTGACCCGGGGAGGACACATGCGAGAGGCAACCAATCGATGTGTCTCTCTCACATCAGTGTCTCCCTCACTTCCCTGCCTTCCCCTCTCTAAAAAAATCAATGGGAGGATTAACATATAAATAAACAATCAGGGGAGGATTAACATATAAATAAATAAACAAATAAATAAATAAAAGAAAAGACATGATGTCTAGGATTTGCTTCAAAATAATATGGTAGAGGAAGGAAATAGGCAGGTGGTAAAAGTGACAAAAGATTGCCCATGAGCTGATAGTTGTTGAACTTTGGGGATGGACACAAGATAGATAGTTCAGTACACTAAGTCTGTTCACTTATGAATATGTTTGAAATTTTACATGCTTTTCTAAGTTCCTAATATTTTGACTCAGACTAATTTGCTAATTTGCATCCTACATAATAAAAGCGTAGTATGCAAATTGTCCCCTCGACTGGGAGTTTTTCTAGGAGTTTGACCAGGGGGTGGGGCCAGTCAGGGGAAAGGAGGGAGGCCCCAGCCAGCCACTGCCAACTGCTAGGGACCCAACCAGTGCACAAAGTTTGTGCACTGGGCCTCTAATAGTTTTATAATACTAAGTTTCTTAGATGTGTCATTATAATAATGTTTAATATAATTAAGTAATGACTTATATTGCCTTTAAAAATAAATATTGTGGATATTATACTTTAAGTACTTAATAGATTTTCATACAAACTATAGTCTGACCTAATTTTAATGTTTAGCTAGAACCATCCCTGGTATTTACAACTTATGTTAAAAGAATGGGCTGCCTAGGAATTGTGTTAGATGGATCAGGGCCTGTATCAGCCCTTCCTATACCACAAATACTAGGAACTGTCATTTTTTATTTTGTGTATTTCCAAATATAAGGTGGTAGAACTGATAATCAATTAATTGCTTAGTAATCTCATAATGGCTTGTTGCTACCTTTCCTAGTGCACAGTGATATTCACAAAAACACTCTGTGAGTTCCAGTTGTGTTGCACCAGGGAAAGTAGATGTAGGATTGATTCCACACATACTCAAGGTTGGAATTCTGCAATTCCTTTTCTTTATGACAACCAGATGACTTAGCATGTAGATTTGGAGCTTATGGCATGAAAAACTTGTGAAGATCAAGCTTTAATGTAGGGCTGAGGACTCCACAGGGAATGTTGCCTATTGAGAACTGTATTCTAAATTTGACTATCCTCACTCATCAAATTCAGGGACTTGGGGTGAGGAAAATGGGAAGTTATTATTGGGTACAGATTTCACTATGGGTTGATGAAAAAGTTGTAGATATGATTAGTGTTGATGGTTGCACACAATGGGAACAGACTTAATATCACTGAATTGTACACTTAAAATCACTTAAAATGGTAAATTTTATCTTAAGCTTATTTAACCAAAATTTTAAAAATTAAAAACTACTCACATTAAATCCAGAAAGATCAATGGCAATGGCAGGTCCATCATCCCTGTCACCTTTAGGTGCAATCTGATTAAGCAGATGAAAATAGGCTCTTGAATCCTTCAAGGAAAGAAATGAAATTTTTAAAATGAATAAAATCATCTTTTGATTTAGGGAAAAAGTGCTCAAACTGAAAAAATAGTCCTCATCTCAAAGAATGGAATAATAACTATTAACTTTATTATTATTTATATGTTCCTCAATCACTGCTATTTTTCACTTCAGAGCTTCCAGCAACAATGTTCCCTACACTGGAATACCCTTCCCCACCTTTTTCATTTGTTTACACCACCAAGCATCAGCATCAATTAAGATCAGGGTTAAGTATTACCTTTTGGAAGACTTCCCTAGATTCTCTTAGAATTTGACCACATTGTAATAAATTATCCAGTGAAGTCATATCCAAAGATGGCTATCATAATTCTTCCCTGTGAATACATATAGCTCCTCCCATTAAAAGGCAGAATCTATTTGCACTCCTTTTTTACTTAGTCTGTACTTGTGACTTGCTTTGACCAATAGAATGCAGTTAAAGTGGTGTGCTGGGGCTCCAAGCACAGCCTGAAGAACTTCTGCATGGGTCTTCTTGAACTCAGCTTCCACATAACAAGTCCAAAGACTGACAGCCAAGCTAGATAGGTGAATAGGCCTCTCGGAAAAGCAATGATTCACTAGACATGTGATTGATGCCCTTGCCCCAATTTGGGCCAGCCCAACTCTCAGCTGAATGTAGTTAGTGATCCCAACCAGAACCATCTGAAGCAGAATCACCCAACCAAGCTGCAATAACCCACAGAATCCTGAGAAACAACAGGTTGTTATTTAAGTTATTAAATTTTGAGTGCTTGTTATACAGCAGTATCTAGATCACGGAAATATCCATCTACTAGATGTTTCTCTCCCTGTGTAATTGAGTAAGCTTCAAGAGTTAGGTCTTTGCAACACCCCCTGCCTGGCATCATGTTCCACAGGAGGGGTTTAATATGTACCTGATTAACTGAATTTTAAAAGAGAAGAGCCCCCTGCAGCCAGGAGGATGGTGGAACTCTCCTGGGGAGCCCCAGTGCTCCTCCTCCAGCTGCTGTGGATCAGCGGGGCTGCAGCCTCCAGGACAGGGGCCCAGCACCCTCTGGCCAGGCTGGCACTGTGGAGGGCTGGCTCACTGGCAGATTCTTTGTAATCCTTTTGTAAAAACTTTGGGATTCCGGGAGGCAGTAAGTACGCCTGCTCAGAATTTTTGCCCTACACAAAGTAACCTTGGCGAGCAGTAGTGGTACAGGAGTGTGGGCGCTGACCCTACAGTGCAGGGATGAAGAGTGTGTGGGGAACACAGCAGGCAGCCTGAACTGGAGGGCGGGGACTGTGAGACCGCTGCTTTTACACTAGCACTTCCCAGTGGGTGGTGGCCTCCCTAGCACAGAAAGGAATTCTTTGCATCCAAAGCTGACTTGGTGGTGGTAGTAGTGGGGGTGGGGTAGATTTTAAGAGTTAAAGAAGATGAGAAAGTTCCATTTCTGCTGGTTGGTAATAAATAAGATTTTAGAAGATAAAAGGCAGCTTTCTGTAGAAGAGCCTAAAACAAGAGCCCATCAGTGGAATGTTAAATACATGGAAACGCTAAAATGCGCTAATGTTGACTAAGTATTTTTTATTTAATGACAGAAATTCGAGCCAGAGAGATGGAAGACAGAAAAGAATAGAAAAAAGAAAAGGCAAAGTTTAGTCATGAGAATCAGAGAAAGATGCTACATTTTATAAGCAGAGTCCCAAACTCCCCTTACTAATAAATGTAACGTATAAGCATTTCCATTGAAGGCTCAATTGACTGAAAACATTTTAACATTTTGAAAACTGTTATGTGTCACTAAAAGTGTGAATTGGAACTAGACTGAAACTCAAATTCACTTAAAAAATAAATTTATGTGGCTTCACCAAGAAGCAAAGCTCAACTTATTTCACAATCTCCCACATTTATCATGGTCCTGAATTTAATGCATAAGCTTGTGTTTTGAGGGCAGTCTTCTTTAAACTGTTTAAGAGGCAAGCTGGGTGGGGAATGGGAGGAAAGACTACTTCTTCAGGTTTATTAAAAAGCCTTAATTTCATATCACTTAAAAATGTATTCATTCTACTACCTTGAAAATAACAATTGTGAACATGATAGTTAAATTGTATTTTTAACCATTATTATACAAAATATTGAAGAAAACTTATTGGCATGGTTGTTGCATATAGTTAAAGTGACAGTAATTTATCTGTTAATCTGCATTAATTACCTGCTGATTAACTTAGAAAATTGGTGCAAACTTGTACATGGAAAATTTGATTTTGCCTTAATTTAGAAACTGAAAAATACCAAGTTACTCATTCTGGGTGTGTCCTCATTGGTGCCATGGTCCCATTGCCCTTGTGTCCTGGTGAGAGAATATATGCCTAGTATGGAGTACAACTTTTGTGTAGAAGATTCTTGAGAAATAACTGTCTGCTAGCAGTCTGTCCAACTTGAAACTATGTTCTGTACTCTGGTTCCTGCAAGTAAGGTTCCAGAGCTCCTGATTGCTTTTAATTAACTATAAAATAGTTTAAAATAAAAGGCCAACATATACTTGTAATATAACTTTAGACTATGAGGACTCAACACCAGTTATGTGCCAGAAGCCAATTCCAGCATGTCAGCAGGGCTGAATCATCTGGAAATGGCTGAGGGCATTTCCCCAAACCTGAAAAGGATGCATTAAATGATTGCTTGTTGCCAGACAGCTCAGGGCATTTCAATCTACTTGTTATTGCCTCCTACTGGCCAAACACCTGAAAAACCGTAGGCAGTTTCACCAATCTGACAATGATTCTGTATACCTAACCCTACCCTTTGAGATTATATATATACTAGAGGCCCGGTGCACAAAAATTTGTGCACTCGGGGGGAGGGGGGTCCCTCAGCCCGGCCTGTGCCCTCTCGAAGTCTGGGACCCCTCGGGAGATAACGACCTGCTGGCTTAGGCCTGCTCCCGGGTGGCAGAGGGCAGGCCCAATCCCTAGGTGCAGCCCCTGGCCAGGCTCAGAGCAGGGCAGATTAGGAGGTTGCGATGCCACCCTCAGTCACGCTCAGGGTAGGGCCGATTGGGGGGTGGGGCACTGCCCCCTGTCACACTCAAGGCAGGGTTGATGGGGAGGTTGTGGCGCCACCCCCTGTCACGCACAGAGCAGGGCCCATCAGGGGGTTGGGGAGCTCCCCCCGTCACTCACAGAGCAGGGCCGATCAGGGGGTTGGGGCACCGCCACTGTCACACTCAGGGCAGGGCCGATGGGGAGGTTATGGCTCTACCCCATCACACACAGAGCAGGGCCCGTGGGGTGGGGGTTGGGGCGCCGCCCTCTATCACCCACAGAGCAGGGCCGATCAGGGGGTTGGGGCACCGCCACTCTCACACTCAGGGCAGGGCCGATGGGGAGGTTATGGTTCTACCCAGTAACACACAGAGCAGGGCCGATCAGGGGGTTGGGGCGCTGACCCCTGTCACACACAGAGCTGCAGGGCGATCAAGGGGTTGGGGAGCTCCCCCCTATCAGGCACAGAGCAGGGCTGATCAGGGGGTTGGGGCGCCTTCCCGTTACGAACAGAGCTGGGCGGATAGGAAGGTTGTGGCCCCTCCCCCGTCACACACAGAGCCGCAGGGCGATCAGGGAGTTTGGGCGCTGCCCCCTGTCACACTGATCCTGGTGCCGGGAGGCCTCTCAGCTCCGCTGATCCCTGTGCTGGGAGGCATATTACCCTTTTACTATATAGGATAGAGGCCTGGTGCACGGGTGGGTGCCGGCTGGTTTGCCCTGAAGGGTGTCCTGGATCAGGGTGGGGGTCCCCACTGGGGTGCCTGGCCAGCCTGGATGAGGGGATGATGGCTGTTTGCAGCTGGTCACACACCCTTCAGGATGGGGGTCCCCACTGGGGTGCCTGGCCAGTCTGGGTGAGGGGCTGAGGGCTGTTTTCAGGCTGGCAGGTGACTGAAGCTCCCAACCGCTCCTTTTTTTCTTTTTTCTTTTTTTTATTCTGGGCCAGCTTTAGCTTTGAGGCTTGGCTCCAGCTCTGAGGCCTCTGCTGCTGAAAGCAGGTTTCTGGCCTTTGTTTACCTTCTGTATTTGAAACAATGTTGTGATCCTGCTGGCTGAAGCCCGGCGGACTAAAGCAGGTTTCTGGGGTTTTGTTTAGCTTCTATATTTGTAACATAGTTGCCTAGAGTTGCAGCTCAGAGGCCGGCAGCAGCAGGCGGGGAATGTTGGTTTCCTCCGTCACTGAAGCAAGCAAGCCTCATGTTAGTTTCAAGCTGCCAGGCTGCCGGCCGCCATCTTGGCTGGCAGTTAATTTGCATATTGCCCTGATTAGCCAATGGGAAGGGTAGCGGTCGTATGCTAATTACCATGTTTCTCTTTTATTAGATAGGAGATACATATATATATGTAAACACACACATATACACACATACACACACTAGAGGCCTGGTGCACAAAAATTTGTGCACTCGGGGGGTCGGGGTGGGGTCCCTCAGCCCGGCCTGTTCCCTCTCCCAGTCTGGGACCCCTCGGGGGATGTCCACTTGCCAGCGGGGAGCAGACCTAAGCTGCAGTCTGACATCCTCAGTGCTGCTGAGGAGGCAGAAGCTCCCACCACCACCGCTGTACTGGCAGCCGTCAGCCTGGCTTGTGGATGAGCAGAGCTCCCCCATGTGGGAGCGCATTGACCACCAGAGGGCAGCTCCTGCATTGAGCGTCTTCCCCCTGGTGGTCAGTGTGTGTCATAGTGACCAGTCATTCCCAGTCTTTCTGCTGTTAGGGTCAGTTTGCATATTACCCTTTTACTATGTAGGATAGAGGCCTGGTGCATGGGTGGGGGCCGGCTGGTTTGCCCTGAAGGGTGTCCTGGATCAGGCTGGGGGTTCTGCTTGGGTGCCTGGCCAGCCTGGGTGAGGGGCTGAGGGCCATTTTCAGGCTGGTCACACCCCCTTTAGGGTGGGGGTCCCCACTGAGGTGCCTGGCCAGTCTGGGTGAGGGGCTGAGGGCCATTT